AATGATGATCTGATGCACGTTTATCCTTAATGATGATCTGATGCACGTTTATCCTTAATGATGATCTGATGCACGTTTATCCTTAATGATAATCTTTGTATCAGTTGCCTGAGAAGTTCCAAACTCCTTCAGTTTGGCCCACTAGCCTCCACTTCTTCTATGTGTCAAAACTGAAATGGTGGTCTGAACTCTTAAAGGTTTTCACTTGTCATCAGTGCTGTATTGAAATGATAACATATATATGCTCGGAAATCACAAGATCTGTAGCTATGACTAAACAATTTTAACACATGAAAATTCAGAGCAGCCACTGATTGTCTAATGGAACAGCATATTCACTAAGACAGAATTTACCAAACATTTACTTGAGTCTAATATGGGACTTGGGCATCTCGGATGTTTGGCATTGGATAGTAATATAAAAAACTGTGACTGCTCTACCTATTACTCATCATATGGATTTGATAACTTCAAAGTTTTTATAGTCATCTACCAAATATTTATTGGTAGTTGTGAGATGTGTTAAAGCACTGTCAGAAGATTTAAGTCCAAATATTTTTATTTTGTTAAAGGACTTCTGATACTTCTGGACTTAAAGAAAGAAAAATGTATAGATATCTACAAGAATTTATAACACTTGAACACTATTGTGCAGTGAGTGTTATTGATACCTGTCTATTTGGGAAAGTTAAGAGAAAGGTTTAATTACAAGTTAAGAAAATCTAAAAGTGTTGCATAGTCAGATTTAAAAATAGCTAAATGATTAATGGACTCTTGAGATCAAGTGAAATTTGTATTCTCAGGTTGTTGAAGACATTGAACGGATTGACTTTGATCGATTTGAGAAACATGACCCAAAACTTAAAGACTGGAGAATTGATGATCGTTGGGAATGGAATGGTCTGAGACGCACGTGAGTAGCCAACTTTGTGTCACATGATTTAGAACACCAGGATTGAGCTTTGGGGGGGGGGGATATGGCTGGGTTGACGATTCTTTTTACCCAACTGTGAGAGGGACCTATACATAAATATATATATCTGTCTTTAGTCTTACAATTCTTAACATTTCATTTCAACAGTTGTAACTTAAGGAGTAAGTTTTAACTCTCCATGGGGTTAGTATCTTTGTGTGTTTCTTTTGACTTGTGCCTCTAATAAATATTGACTTAACAGTACATGTGTATAATCAAAATTTTATAAACAGTAAAACAGATCTTTAATTTATACTGTAAACAACAACGTATGTATCAACATATAAAACGATGTGTAAGAATATATATATATATATTCAGTTTGACAACATTGATATTACCAATAAATTTGTTTTTTTGGGGGGAGGCAACTTATAAGTTTTGCTATAATTTTTGAATTTTTACTGGTAAATTTATTGTAACCAAAAAAATGCTGATTAATTTTGATTTTGTTTATCCCAATGTCAAAATAAAGAGTTGGAAATTTATATTTATAGTTTTAAAAAGTTGATGCTCGTCAAAGCTAACAAGATTGTAAGTTATATAGAAAGCTAACGAACGAGATGACAGCTCTTATTTTTCCATCCTAAGATAATAGGTTATGCAAGATACTATTACTTGTTTGTTTTAAACTTCAACGTTTCCCAAAAGATCCAAGTTTATAATCTTCTCCAAAATTATTATGTAATCAAAACTGTATTCTTGTTATTTGAAATGTATCAGTTGAAGCTGTGTAATAAAATTCATTGTAAGTGTAGATCA